CGTAAATTGTCATGTTGCATTGGGAAAATGTCACTTTTACCTCCTCAATCCAAGAACAAATGCACCTATTTGAAGAAAAAATTACTTATCTAGATTTTGATTTTTTCCAGTGTAAACAGCGGAACATAAATAGAACAGCTGACATTTTGTTCTGGTTTTGGGTTTTGTCGGGCATTTGATCATAATTCCAACTCAGTGCCAAATTTTTCCTTATTTTTTTTGAGAAGGGAAATAAAAAACATTGATGCAAAGACAAACAGCTCAGTTCATACTAACACAAACAGCATACTGATAACATGTGCACTCCTTGAAACTCACACTTTAACCTAGATTTTAACAAAAATTTCTAACTCTAGCATCAAACTTTAATGGAATAACTCTCAATATGATCACCAGCGCTGACTCAGCATGATTAAGGCCACCAAAGAAGAAGGAGGAACAAAAAAAAAAGTGAAATAATGACAACGGAGCACATAATTCCTTCACAAGGGAACAAGAACAGAACCAAATGGTTCACATCTGCTCCTTCCATCCGAGTATTAGCATGAGAATGTGCAGGGAGTGCTTCAATGCTGCACAGCTCACTGCTCGAGAAAGCCGATGGAGACCTCAACCGTGGGCCGCATTGCCAGTGCCAGATGTCCCCTCGTGTTGTCGGGACAATGCAAGAGGATGTCCTGCATTTAACAAATCACACGCCGTGTCTTTTCTGCATGTGCTCGACACTAGAAACATGTTCAGCCCCCTTAAGTGAACCATGATGACATTTAACATTCCCTCACAGAGGTCAAATGGCCTCATGTCCTTTTTAATAGACAAAATTTCTATATTTATACCAAATCCAAAGCTGAATTTTTCTTATGCATTGGTAATATCCTTTAATTTCAAATTTAAAACTAAACTTTTGGGTCAGTCTCCATCTGAGGTCATTCAGTGAAATTCACGTTTCAGTCATGATCTATGGGAGACGGATACAGAACGCAAAATGCATTTCCACAAGAGAAGAACACGTTGAATCTACCATCTGCAGCTTTACTTTCCATGGGAGGAAGTCTGTAGTTTACGGTAGGAATGAGTCAGATCTGAAACAGTGATACAGTAGAAAGAGCTTTAACACAAGCTCATAAAAAGAATGCAAAACATAAAAGTTATTGCTCCAAAATGACTCCAGGTGTCCGGTCTTTGCATTTCATGCATACAGAGAGGCTGGTTTCCTACATGCAAACAAACAGGACAGAATCTTAATGGCATGATAGATGTTAGCAAATCAAAACTGGAGTCACAATCAAAGTAAGGAGGTGTATGATTCTGGGAGGATAAGCTGTAACAGAATTCATATGCACATTGTGATAGAGTGAAATGCTAGAATTAATGCATGAAGTATTTCTTGGGTGCATTAGAATTGGAGTTTTGGTTATGGAAGAGCTCACTGGCTGCTGACTCTGCTGTCAGTTGTGGAAGTATTTAAAGGCACACTATGCAACATTTTTCAGTTAATTAATGTGTTCCATAACGTTTTGGATGATTAAATGAGTCATTTCAGGT